TTCTTATGCCTATGATGCAGAAATTCTCTACTCCCTTGATGGTGAGAATGTTAACTTTTCTCTGGGTTTTCTTTCCATGTTGTAGAACTTAACAGAAAGTTATTTCCCTGATATAGAAATTTTTACTATAGTCTAAAAAGCTCTGAAATGATATAATTCAGTCTTGTATTACAAACTTCATCTGTTTTGAGAGTTCTTTACATGAAACTCCATTGCATTTCCAGAGTGCTCCGTTGGCTTTAATGCTATTAAATTCGAAAGTGTCTTTGATGTGAGAGTTATGCAGTAGAGTAGAGATTTTTTTCTTTTCTCAGTTGCCAATTTATCTCTTCAGTTGATTTTCAAACTGGGATGAATCTACAGCCATGAACTTTCTATGAAGAGCAAGGTTAAGATTTGTCTTTGGATAGCTAATGTAGTTAGACATTTTTGAGAAAAAGGAATGAGAAGTGGTCATTATCCATTATCTGCATGAAATATTTCAGAGAAAGAAACAGCTTTTGCCAAACACGAAAAGATGTTTGAGTTGAAGCCAGGCAAGAAGGAAACAAGATCACCTTATAGCACTATGAGATTGCTCTGCTAATGATGTTATTTCAAGTAAAATTGGAATATATGTATGAAAAAGTGCAGATGGTGCATGGGTTTTACATGGATTAGCAGTGTTGTTCTGGACAATGATTCACTGTCCCTTTTCTTGGCAGAAAATAAATTTTCCAGTCTTGGAAAGAAGCATGTATATATATTTTAAGAAATATTTCTGCATGTGGAAAAAGAGAGCAAATCTGAGTGAAAATAGCATCCACTGGTGGAAAAGTTAACAGCAAAAGTGCACACTTCAAAAAATATATATATTCACACTCTGCAGTCCAAGTTCAGAAGTGATATATAATGTGGTGTAAGTTACGAGTTAGTGTAGGGATTTGAGGGACTGAAAGTTGACACTGTGTTCAGCATCACCAGCAGCCTGGCTCAGCGTTACTTGCACAGTAGGATCAAGGTTTCAAGATAAATGTAGATGGAGATTTAGACCCATAATTTCAAACAAGAGTTTTTGCAGGTGCACGAACTGAACGTTTTTTCTTTTAATTACTCTGCAGAAATATACTAGAAATATCTAGGAAAATGTTATCCCGCTAAGAATAAAAAAATCAGCTGTTTACTGCATCTCTTGTCCTAGAGAAGCAGATTGCTTAAGTTATCATGAATCCGACCACAAAGGCACAGAGGGAAATAAAAAAATAAGTTAAAACATTTTAGAACTTTCTATAATGATTATTATCCATACGATAATATTATCCATAATGATGTCATGATTTTGAGATACACTATCTTGGGATTAATCAGAATTAAAACCAAATACTGTGTTTCCATTTAGGAAGCCAGAAGTTGCTTCCATTCAATGCTCTTGAGTTCCTGGGTTTTGTCTGTTCTTCAAGATAGGAAAATTTCAGTCTGTCACTTCTCCAGGACTGCAAACTGCCCGTCTTACATCTCTGTTTGGGCCTGCTTAATTTTGGTGGGAAAAATTCTCAGCTGAGAAAAGGAGGAAGCATTCACCTGGTTGCTGAGTTTGGATTTTTTAATTCTTTTTCTATTAGACAACTACATATGAGCAGCTCAGAGGTTGGGAATGCTGGAATAAGCCTGAGGGAGAACTGGTGAGAAGAGAACAGGTCACTCAACAATTTATTATACGGACATCACTGTGATGTGCAAAATTCGTACTACTTACTACAGACACTGCATTTAAAATATGCAAGTGTATGGACTTAAGACATACTTTACATGTAGCTTATAAAATATATAATGCAAAGTCCACTTAACATGAATGTTATTTCTGTTAAACAGCTACATCAGTTCATATCAACCTTTACATACAGTGAAATCTTACTAAACAGCGCTGTTGGAAGGACACATGCATTTCATGTATCCCTAGGTTGCCTACACAGAAGAGGTCTTCACTGTCCATAAAATGCCCACAGCAATTTAAATCATTTAAATAAACAAAATGGTTTTGCACATATAATGCTGTATTACATTTTCAAAGCTGCCCAGAACCCTTAACCGTTATTAACATGGACCAGACACTGAAGGTTTTGTGAAATTTTGATGGCGTTTTCTAGTAAGTTACTTTACCCCTTTCATTTGATTGCGTCTGTACATTATGCGGACAAAAAAGAGGATTTCTCAGCTCGAGTTACTCTTCTGTAAAGGTTATAGTAAACATGTCAATGCCTAATTAAGCAGAAAATTTTATCTGTATTGTGGGGGATGTGCAGCTGTCTGGTTCTTCTGCTTCTTCTGGTAAATCCTTTTAGAAGGACAAAGAATATTGTAAGGAAGAAACTACGGTGTGTAGCTTCCGAAGGAGAAAATGACCTCCTTGTGAAAAATGGGTTAATAATATTCAAAGAGTTCGTGCAGAGATAGAGAATCAAATTTGCACCGACCCAAAACTGTGTGAACGCTATTTGTTGTCTGTTTTGTCTGATTCCTTCACTGGATTCCCTCCTTATTTTTGTTTTGCTCAGTGTAATATGCTTGGCAATGTGATACATCTTGGCAAGGGGCCAGCATTGCTACCTACGCTATACAGTATCTCTAACACCGCGAGAATAATGTCAGTCCTGCTCATCAGTTCATGCTGGTTGTTTAACAAGGTTACCATTCATGATGTGTAGGAGCTTTTGCTGCCTTCTTTCCCATTCTCCATGTCCGCTTTAAAAATTGCAAGCTCAGAAGGGGGGTGCATGGACACCACTATCTGCTTATTAGGAGAGAAGGTTGGGAGGTGAACTACATATGTTTTATTCTCAGTGTGGTCTTTGCTGCCTGCCTCAGTCTGATCATCTGTAAATGAGGCTACTAGTATCTGCTGTACCCCAACGCACTCTTAAAAGATTCATTTATTCAATATTTAACAAACACTTTGTCCTTCTTTGCTGAAAGCTTTTGCTGAAGTGCATAGTGTTCCTAGCACTACATGATTACTATTTCATCCTGTTAAAGTGGTGCCCAAGCCATTCACTCAACACTGCTGTTATCTTTACCTCTGGCTGTGAAGCTGCCAGGTATCATCCCTGCAGTAAATCAAGCACAGCTCTGAGGCCAGTGCAGTCCGTACTTGTCCCAGAGCTGTGGGAATGACGAGAGGAGAGATGGATCGCGTGGGTTTTGTAGCACAGTCACAGAGAGCCCTCATTTCCCTTTTCTTACACTTGAAGTTGATCCAAGGAAACTGTTTCTCAAGTTCTGGTACATTTCTTTGGCTTGATGGTAAATACTGGTTGAGAGGGGTGAGATACTCTCCCCTGCTCATTTCTCCTTAAATGCAAATGGATGGAAAAATTGAAACACATATCTGAAAGAATTAGGGAAGGCTTTGACCATATGTTAATCAAAACGCTTCTACCTTTCTGCCCATCTCTTTTGATTAGTTAAAAGGGTATCATTTGTACAGGAATAACAAATTCAAGAGGGCAAAATGAGCCAGGTCCTCAGAAAAATGAACTTTCCTCAGAAGATGGGAAGGAATTGAATTTTAAATAAATAACAATTTTAGGCTCATTTGCCTTGTGCTTTCCGAGCTTCTGTGGTTGTGTTTTCAAGCTCTACTTCACAGTTACGAGTATATGAGTTCTGTTTTATTTTTACATGGTTACTTTTAATGATTGATTTTGAGGAAAGGTTTTTTTATTTTAACATAATTACCTGACACAAGAAGCTAGGCCTTAGAAAACACAACCAAGTATTTCTGTGCCTGCTATGCAATCACAAGAGTTGGGAGTACTTGGTTTGCTCCTAACTGAAAGGGCATGTAAACATATCTCAAATGAAGACCTGCACTTCTGAAATCAACACTTAGTTTCAATGAGTGGCTGTCAATAAAAATGAATTGTTTCAGTGTGTGCTTGTATTGTACATAATAGCTTTGCAATGGCTGCTAAAAAATTACACTGTGTAAAAAATTACACAGATATGTTTTGTGAAAACGTGTCTGAACTACTTGTTCTGCTCTGTCACTTCTTATGGGACTCTGAGAGTGAATTCTTAACTCTGGTGAACCAATGGGAATTTAGCCACTGACTGCAACAGCGCCAGTTCACCCTTAAGAATCCTTTTCTCCCATCCTTCAATCTGTTTTTAACCAGGTTATCTCCCATAACTTGAGTAGAATTACTGCTGATCTAAAGCCAGAAGAAAAAACAACTGAATTCCTTAATTAATTTTAAAATTTACAACTTTTCCAGTATCAAGTTCATCTTGTTAATTAAATCATTCATTTGTCAAGGAAAATTATTCTGGACTTTTTCAATTATATAGTTAACTTTGGTCTCTCTCTGTTACATCCCAATACTGTTCTGTAATTTCTGCCATGAAATATATGTATTTTTTTTTTATCAAAGCACAATTTACTTTATGGTATACAGTATATCACTTTTACAAACAAAAGAGTTCCACTTAAGCCTATTAGTTCTTTCAAATGTTGTATTTTGACATATGAATTATTTGTGTACATTCTAAAGTGCTTTTTTAGGTGATCAAATGGCAAAAGATTACTGTACCTAGATGATTCTATGAACCAGAAAGATTGTGGCAGTTATTTTTCTTCTGTTCCTTGCCAATTCCACCCTTTCTTGCACTGAGGCTCCAAACAATTTGATAGAATTGAAGCTTTTAGTATAAACTTAAAATTCTTACGTGTGAATTTTCCAACTGTCCCATTACAGGACAGTTAGAATTATACTCCTATGACAGGAAAATTATTAACTCAGAATCTCTGGCAGTTATAAAGAATTATGATCATCTGCCAATAAAATGCAGCAGCCTTCACAAAAAGAGACATCATTTGGCTTTTTTCACTTCCAGTACTAACAGACGATAAAGTTGTAGATTAAATTGAAGTTCAGTAAAGAAAGCACGTAGTGAAACTAGAAACCTCAAACAGTTGTATTCTCCCTTAACATATTATTTCATATATTGGCATTCCATTTCAGGTTATGTCCAAGAGGAAGGTTTAAAGGAAGAGGAAGATATAAAGGAGGAGGAAGAAGATGACGATGACAACAATTCAACCGCTCAACTTCAGGGCAGCAATGACACCGGTACAGATGAGGAACATGAAGTGGGACCTGAGCAGAAAGGGAACTTCAGTTACCAGAATTCTCCTGTCAGTCATATATCTAATCAGGATGCAGAAAATGAATCACTACTGAGTGATGGTAGTGACCATGTGACAGATGTTAAAAGCATTTGCTCTAGAGAGCCACAGGATCCAAAAACCAGCGCCCATCCCAAAGCCCAGAACGAAGCACATGATTGCATGGATAAAATGACAGCAGTCTATGCCAACATACTGTCAGATTCATATTGGACAGGCTTAGGGCTGGGTTTCAAGTTGTCTAACTCTGAAAAGAGGAGTTGTGACAACAGAAATGGAGGTAACAAAGCTGATTTTGACTGGCACCAAGATGCATTGTCAAAAAGCTTACAACAGAATTTACCTTCCAGACCTGTCTCGAAACCTAACCTGTTCAGCTCAGTCCAGCTCTACAGACAGAGCAGCAAAATGTGTGGAGCTGTATTCACAGGTGCTAGCAGGTTTAGATGCAGGCAGTGCAGTGCTGCCTATGACACTTTGGTAGAATTAACGGTTCATATGAATGAAACAGGTCATTACCAAGATGACAACCATAAAAAGGACAAGCACAGACCTACCAGCTACTCAAAGCCCCGAAAAAGGGCTTTCCAGGACATGGACAAAGAAGATGCACAAAAAGTTCTGAAATGTATGTTCTGTGGTGACTCTTTTGATTCCCTTCAAGATCTGAGTGTTCATATGATAAAAACAAAACATTACCAAAAAGTGCCTTTGAAGGAGCCGGTACCAACCATTTCTTCAAAAATGGTCACTCCAGCAAAGAAACGCGTGTTTGATGTTAACAGGCCTTGCTCCCCTGATTCCACAACAGGGTCTTTCTCAGATACTTTTTCTCCTCAGAAGAATGCAAACCTGCAGTTATCATCTAACAACCGATATGGCTACCAAAATGGCGCCAGCTATACGTGGCAGTTTGAGGCCTGTAAATCCCAGATTTTGAAGTGTATGGAATGTGGAAGCTCGCATGACACCTTGCAGCAGCTAACAACTCATATGATGGTCACTGGCCACTTCTTGAAAGTCACAAGTTCAGCTTCAAAAAAGGGAAAGCAACTCGTTCTGGATCCTTTAGCTGTGGAAAAGATGCAATCACTGTCTGAAGCACCAGCCAATGACAGCCCGGTTTCAAAAACAACCAGTAAATCATCTTCAGAATGCATAGCTCCCACTTCTGAACTAAAGAAAGAAACTAAAAAAGATAAGACTGACGATACAAACAAAGATGAGAAAGTGGTAAAAACTGAAGAGTATGAAGACACACTTCAGAAACCACTGGATCCTACAATGAAATACCAGTACCTCAGAGAAGAAGATTTGGAAGATGGTTCAAAGGGTGGTGGGGACATTTTAAAGTCATTGGAGAACACTGTCACAACAGCCATCAATAAAGCTCAAAACGGAGCTCCTAGCTGGAGTGCATATCCTAGTATCCATGCAGCTTATCAGCTTTCAGAAGGAGCTAAGCCTTCTTTGCCTGTGGGTTCCCAAGTACTGCAAATCAGGCCAACAATCACCAATAAATTGAGACCCATTGCTCCAAAGTGGAAGGTCATGCCTCTGGTCCCTATCTCAGCAAATGTGGGCCAGTGCACTCAAGTGAAGAAGGAAACTGATGACAAGGAAGATGTACAAAAGGACTATGCTAAAGAGGGCATGCAAGCTGAACCTGCCCCCCTCTGTCAGAATGAAAGAGAACCTCTCCTCAAATGTGAAGCCTCTGTGGAGCCAAAAAAGACAGAACCATGTCCCTTGAAAGAAGAAGACAAAATAAAAGAGGACAGCGGAAAAGAAAAAACAGTCCTCAAGGAACCAACAGCAGCTTCTCTTAGTAATGGTTGTGCTGCTGCCAACCATTCCTCTGAACTGCCTTGTGTCAACCCACTTAGTGCCCTCCAGTCAGTACTGAATAATCACTTGGGCAAAGCTACTGAACCTTTACGGCCCCAATCCAACTGCAGCCCCAGTTCTAGCACAATTTCTATGTTCCACAAACCTAATTTAAATATGTTGGAGAAGCCAGTTTTATCTCCTGCTCCAACCCCACCAAAGCCTGCAAGTGTGTCCAGGCACTATTTGTTTGAAAACAATGATCAGCCTATTGACCTGACCAAATCTAAAGGCAAGAAAGCTGAATCAGCTCAAGCACAATCTTGTACTTCTCCGCCTCAAAAGCATGCTCTTTCTGACATTGCTGACATGGTCAAAGTTCTTCCCAAAGCTACTACACCAAAACCTGCTGCATCTTCAAGGATCCCACCTATGAAACTGGAAATAGATGTCCGACGCTTTGAGGATGTCTCAACAGAAGTCTCTACTCTGCATAAAAGGAAGGGCAGACAGTCAAACTGGAACCCTCAGCATCTTCTCATTTTGCAAGCTCAGTTTGCTTCCAGTCTCTTCCAGACTTCCGAAGGTAAATATTTATTATCAGATCTAGGCCCACAAGAGCGCATGCAGATTTCAAAATTTACTGGGCTGTCTATGACCACCATCAGCCACTGGTTGGCAAACGTCAAGTACCAACTTAGGAAAACTGGAGGAACAAAGTTTTTGAAAAACATGGACAAAGGACATCCAATCTTTTATTGCAGTGACTGTGCGTCTCAGTTTCGAACCCCATCTACTTATATTAGCCATTTAGAATCTCATCTAGGTTTCCAAATGAAAGATATGAACAGGCTGGCTGTGGAGCAGCAAACCAAGGTAGAGCAAGAAATCTCCAGAGTTTCAGTTCAAAGATCTCCTGAAACAATAGCTGGAGAAGAGGACACAGACTCTAAGTTCAAATGTAAGTTGTGCTGTCGGACATTTGCGAGCAAACATGCAGTAAAACTTCATCTAAGCAAAACACACAGCAAGTCACCAGAACACCATTCACAATTTGTAGCAGAAGTGGATGAAGAATAACTCTTAAGGTATGCACGCTCTATAGTGAGTTTTCATTTCGTCTTTTTAAGGAAGCCTCTTAAGACATTTGTACTTTCTTAAATGCAGGAAAACGCTATAAAATGTATAATGTACTGCTGCTTCATTAATCTAATTACACGTACATATCCATTTTATAATGTTTTCAAGAGGAGAGCTTGATAAATGCTTAGCTATATTGCCCTATATAGAAAACTTGCGTCTTACTACACTTTTCAACATAGCTGTTTCCCAGTTCTCTCTCTTTTCTATTTCTAAGAACTAATTGCTTCACATCCTATGCAGTTTAACGTGGAGTGCAACTAAATGCTACTCTTTGCAATGAGAATGGAAAAGCAAGAAAACACATTGAACACTAAAGGACTGGATACCTATCTCCCAGGAAATCTGGTTTTGGTAGGGGAAAAAAGACAATCCAAATGGCAAGTTAGCAAAATCTTAATTAATCCATAATCTAAAAGCGAGTCTAAAGAAGCTACTAATAACGCTGAGAAGCTTTTACGTAGCAGTTTTGTTATTCTTTGCGTGCTACTTGGATACTCACTTTTTTGATGCATTCTAATAGCTCCCCTTAGTTGTAATGTGAGTGGCCTTTTTGGTTGCATCACTTTAGAGTAATCCTTCTCTCTATCATGTCTCTGCTCAATGCTTTTTTATTCTTGAGGATGTTTGATTATATTTTGTTTGATGATGATGGGAGTGCCAGTCAATCTATGAACATCACTAACTTCAGTGCAAGTTTCAGTATAACCTGGGTTTTTTCAGGCTTAATTAAGGGAGCAGCTAGATTTTTTTACAAGCTTAGTATTTCAAAGACCTGGTAATAGAATACTTTTATATTAGCGTTGCTATGTTTTTGCCGAAAGAGACACCAAACAAAGTACTGCCACAACCAATGTTTATGACATGTAATGTACTCTTCAGATGACACAGTTTTTGCATTTTTAATTTTACTTAACTCACAAACTTGAATTGTCTTGATTTTAATAAATATGCAGAACATCAACTAAAAGTCCAAAAAGAAGTTTCCTGTTCTAACATATTTGTTACCATCAAGGCTCTGCTAATCATTCCCAACAACTTCTGCAGCAAATTCAGGCTCTGTTTCTGCTCACAAAATAACCATGGGCAGATTCAGCTTTTCTCCAGTCTTTCATTACTTGAATACATTTGGAAAATGAATTCGTCAGACAGAGTCAAAATTAAAGATGTGTTGTGAGTTGTCACTTACGCCACCTGCTATTGAGGCTATTCCCTGGCTAATTGAGGGTGCAAGCACTTTGAGATGAATACCCGTTTGTGTGAAGATTTCACATTTGTTTGCTGCAAATATTCATGAAGCTTTAAGAAACACTTTCTGTGTGCAGAGGCAGCACAAAGACTATGCATCACTTAAGCTCCATTAAAAAGGCTACTTTTGAATAATTTAAACCACTAATCAAAGGGTTACTTTGGGATGGGCAATAGAAGCTATTACTATAGAGTATAACGTCAGTATTCAAGTGCAGTAAGATTTAAGTTTTGCCTAAGTCTTGCATAGGTTATCTGTATTTGACTGGATTTACCCTTTCTGTATGTTTTATGCAGCAAAATTCAGTCTAACTCAAAGAGAGTTTATTTTTTAAATAGTGCTAATACCCTTAAATTTTATTTTGGTATTTCTAACCTAATTTTAGAATCCAGTATAAAAAGGGCAAATAAATGTTCTTTGTTTTATCTGATAATAACTGATTTTCCACCTAACTGTTTTATAACCGTTCAGAATCAATATACCTGCCAAAATGTCAGAAAATTACGAATGATTGGTGGGAAAAGATATACCATACTTCTTTTCCTTCCCCACCAGTTAATGATTATTAAAACTCTGACATGCATAGTTTTCACACAAGAGATATGAGAGCAAACCAATAATTTGGGTCGTATCAAACAAAAGCTATCTGCCAAATATATTAATATAACAGTTATTTTGGCATATTCATGGCTTAATACCTGACAAATCTTTCAGATTTGGTATTAAAAGAACTGTGTTATTATTAAGATGCAAACCAAACACCCACCTTTATAAACATGATACAGTTCCTTGGGATCTGGGGAACAAATACAAAGAAAAAATCCCCAAGGGAAAAGAGTGGTTTCTGCGTTACAATAACCTACACAGACACATCGCTGATATTATTTAGGTGATATGTAGCTACATAAATAAGGTACTGTCCCACCTGCCTTTAGGTACCCAGAAATTTCTCTTCTCTTAATACTCATCCATCTCTAATTTATATCAGGATGCAGGTTGTGTCTTACCTTTGAAAAATATATTTAAATTGCAATGACAGAGTGATAGCACTGTTATCTGGAACTATAATTTTAGTTGGTATGCATGATAGCACAAATTGTATGAAATGATGGGGTATTTTGGATAGCATTGTAAAGATTTTATTACAGTTTTGGAGCTGTAAACCTTCCTAAGTTCTGACTATGTTAGAACTGTGGAGGCCAGAGTTTATTCATATAGGTTTCTTCCTGAGATCTGGAAGGAGACTAAATCAAATAACAGGGATTTTCAGAGTTTACTTATTCTTACCATGTTATTTTTAAGATTCAGTATACATTTGAATAATAACATAGAGGGGAGCAAAGTATTTAGAAACAGGAAATATAAAGTATACTCAGATTCTTAAAGCACACAGATAGATCTGCATTTACTTATTCTATGCAATATCGTAGCAAAACAAAAATAAAAATAGAAAAATCTATGGAAATAAAGAAATAAAACAGTGGAAAGTATTTGAAGTATAGACATACATAAAATACAATCTATATTGCAATGAAAGCTACTGTTAAAAGTCATATTTGAAAAATGGTAAATATAATTAAAATATAAATGAATTATCTAGATTAGTACTATAGGAAAACTGTGTTATGTATACGGATTTTTTAAAATCTTTGTGAGGCTGTTTATTCGCTATCAATTCTTTTTAAATGGAAGGACACACATATGTGTTTTATATTCATCTGTGCTGTTTTCTTGAATTCTTCTAACTAATAAGGGCTTGGTAAAATAATGGAAAATTATGTATAATATACAACAATCAGATGTCTCTATTCTCTTTCAGTTAACCCACTTCAAATTTTTTTCTATTACTGTTCTTCAAAGAAAACCCATGAACATTGGGGAACATGGCTTTAATTAGAGCTAATTTGTATGTCAATTTATACCTTTGAAAAGGTATCATTTGTTCATTTTTTCAACTAAATTAGAAAAATTTTGTTGTCCCAAAAAAGACAATGCAGAGTTAGATTTCTACTTTAAAGACAAGTGATAAGATTGGTTGTAAACTGGTCAGTCCCTGGAGCTCTCTATGGTCTTATCTCCAACTTTTTTATAAAATAAGTCTTTATAGATAGTTAAATTTACCAACTTGGTTGGGGAGATTTCTTTTTCAAAAGACCCTGATAAGTAAACAAGCAGCTACCTGAAATGAACTAATTTGAAAGTAAGGCTGCTGCAAAACAAAAAAATGAGTCAGAATGATAAACAGTTTTTCTCTCTGTTTCCTCCTTTGTCTTTTTTTAACCATCAAGTTTAAAGCTTCTACAGTGCTTTTTTTCTACTTTATAGGAGACAACTGACATTCTGTGGTAAATGGAAGAAAGAGCAGAGCAGAACTGAAAATCCTCTAATGCACTGACACTAACTTGCCCTCTATTGTTGAAAATGAGCAGGCAATCATGATTGTTCATCAAATGGCTCCTAATGCAGTTAAAGCATTCAGCTATAATTTCTCCTTGCATTTATAATTACTGTCATAGACTGCACACCTCACTGAGCAGATTAAAGCTATAAACTATTTAGCCGTAGCTTTAAGATGGGGAACTTGATTTGTCTGGCAGCAGTTATTTGTTAGAGAGCTTGACACTTCACATAAAAATGACTCAACTTGATGAAGAACAATGCAGTTTAAGCAATGCAGTGATTTTAAATCAGTCATTATACCACGCCCTGTAAGAATTGCAAAGCAATTTGTTAAATGATATATAGGACATGTAGATAACTGTATGTGTTAAGTATACCAAAATAGAAGATTTTTTTCTTCTGTGGATTTTATTTTCTCATCTCCACCAAAAAAAAGGAGTAGGAGCTACTCTGAACATCAATGTTGAGCTATTAGCCAATGTTGGTGTTACATGGGCAAGGCCAACTGCATGAACTACTTGTCCAAAACCATAGGTTTGAGAATTTAACTTATTCTTCATCTTTCACTTCTTCTTAGCAACAGCATTAGAGACTGAGACACCCTTTCAGGAGAATCAGATGTGATTTTGTAAGCAGATTTTACCAACAAAACTGATAGAGGGTTCTGCTTACCAAATCATCAGCCGGAAAGAGAGGGTTCATTGCAGTGAAGGCCTTGATTATGAGTTTGAATAGGAGTTTTCTGGCATCACCTTGTTGGAAACTGCTGGCTTGTCAATAATAAAAAAAAAAAATTCTGTGAGGATGTCCCATTTTCAAACTAACTTTTGTTGGAATAAACTGAGTAAAATTGCTGAACGCTAAGAAGTAGAGAAGATGAAAGAGAGGAACAGGAACAGCAATTAGCTTGGCCTCTCAGCTGTGCTGGAGGAGAGGGGCAGAGCCCTTACTCAACCAGGGACTACTTCTAACTGTGAAAAGTCACCCTTCTGTTCCAGTGAAGTCGCAGTCCCCTAATCCTTTGAAACTTCTCACTGTTTCCCCAAAGCAGTAGATCAGGATTTTTTTTTTATTTTAGCAATTTTAAAACTTCAAATTTTTCCTAGGGAAAATGTATTCAGTCCAGCTCTCATTCTTGTAAAACCAGTAAGTAGTGTGTTCTCGGCTTCCCTGAGAGCAGGGTCAGACCAGATGATACATCAATGTGTGTCGGCATAGATATATCAGTACAGATTTGCTTGCTTTTTATGAATACTACAGGTTGCTATTAAGATAGGTATTATTTTACATTGCATTAAT